TACTCTTGCACTCCAAACCAGGCACACCGAGTGACAGTCTGGAGTTATCCTGGGAGGACCTTGGGAGTGACACAACTCCTCTCTCTTCCCACAAGGGAAGGGCAACAACCTGAGATGCTCAGGGTGCAGTGCACCAGAAGGTCACAGCCAGGACAGTCCTGCCAGCCCCACCTGCCGGAGGGTTGTTCCCTGCTCTGTTTGCCAGGAACCTGCCTTCATTTCCCTGTACAGCTGGAAACTGTTCAGGGCTGGATGGAATTAGCACACGGGCACAGAGCTACCTTATGTTCAGGCTTCCCTAGACTCAACCTGTCTTTCTGCCTGGAAATTGAATGCAGATGGGATTTGAAGCATCTGGGGCATCCGTTGTGGGTCCCTGGACAAATGACTGTGGTGCATGAAGGGACCAGCGCAAGTCCAGTTATCTGTAAATCCCAGACAGAAATATGGGAATCAGGCATGTTGAACCACACCACTTTATCCTTCTTGAGAAAGGGGAGAGCAATAAACAGTAGAGAGACACTGGAAAAGCCTTGTCAAAGTAACACAGCCTTGGGAGACTTTTTTCCACCACTCAAGCCTCACCGTCAGACACTGGGGATGTACGTGGGCATTACCTGAATCCTGGCACAACAAAATGTAGCCATTACTGATAATTTTAGCCTCAACATGTGCAGTAATGCAGCATGCTAGCTCTAGGTTTCTACTCCATGCCTCTGCTCACAGGAGCAGTAGAATGGTCTGAGTCAGCCAAGGGGCAGAAAAACATAACTTTCAGCAACACTGCATGATCAAGGGGACCCTTGAGGAGTGGAAAAGGTCAAGAATTCCCCTATCCCAACCCTGGTTCTCACTGCAACTGTGACAAATTAACGACTCTGTCCTCATCTGTAAAGTGGAGATACTACTCACCTGCCTCACAGGACAGCACAGAGCTAATTGCCAGGGACAGTTAAAGACTCGGCCCCAGAACTTATTACATCAAGAAATTAAATAGCGAATGAAGCAAGACTCCACAAATGTCACTGAACTTTGACACCTGGAGCTTCCAGCCCACTGAGGTCTTAGCAGCAGCAGTGTTGAATCTGACATCTAAACGTTCCCTATGGGTAACAGCTCGCCATATCCAATAAGAGTGAATCTGCACGGCTCAGGAGACTGAGAGCCTTGCCTTTCTGTCTGTCTGAAGAGCACCTACTAAGCTGACGGGTCCTAAGAAATAAATAATGCGCCACTGTAAAGTACATTTGTATTCATACACGCCTCATTTTTCCAAGCAGTAATCAAGAGTATTATGTTACCTATGGTCGAAATGATTAGTCATGTTTCCAAAGATTAATTTACATGTTCTTTTGTTTAATGCGTACGAACTGATTTAATGGCTGCTTATGAACTGAGCTAACAGTCATTTTGAGAAACAGATGTCCAATGTAGTTTTAAGCATTAAGAGTACTTTTATTCATATCCTTAGGAGAAGAAGGGCTACACAGTCTACAGTAATAACACTAATGAATCAAAGTACTACAGCTGCCCAACAGGGTTTTGACAGAAACCAGCTTTTTCTCAAAGGAACTTTTTTTTTTTAGGACTCTGGGACAGTGAACAACTGGTAATATGCATGCTTAACATGTAAGTATGTGCTTTTCTGGAGCCAGAACACTGAATCAAGTGCTATCTGCAACCAAACAATGTGAAGCACTGAAAACTGTAACTACACAAAGACAGGGAAATCTGTATGGAATCTGGATCCTCCACATTTTGTACAAATAAATATTTGAAAGTTTGAGTGTTTCTGGTACTATTTTGTGATGCTGAATGCAGAACAGGTTGTCTGCTTTAAACCCTGATAGATTATTGTGTGTGGGTGGTAGGGTTAGGATAAAAGAAAGGGAAGAAAGCTACTAGGAAAGCAGTTGGTGGCTGCAAATCTATGATAAATAAACAGCACATTCCTCTTCAGCACAAAGCCATTAGAGTCTGTGTCAGACTTTAAAATCCTAATGTCAGCTGGGTGCAAATTTGACAGCCTGGGGTTCTGCAGTGCTCCCTATGGAAAGTAGATTGGGAACAATTTGCCATGCCCCAACAGAGCATTTCTGTCAAGTTCCCAAGGAGCCTCTAATGTACCAGTTATACACAGGACCCTTGCAATGAACCATGGGTTTGGTATTTTATGGTCTGGTGTGTACAGTGCAGGATATGATTACACACAAGCCTGCTTCCCATCAGCCAGCACCTCGTAATCATTAACATATTTATCCTTGTGGTGCCTCAAGAAGATGACATTGTTATTAGTCCCATTTTATAGATTCAGAACTGAAGCTCAATAGCTAAATGACTTGCCTTTGATTACACAAGATTTACAGTGTAGGACAGAACTGAGTCCCAGCCCTACCAGGCCTGAGCAAGGATCGCACCAGAAAGACTAGATCTATGTGCAAAGCTATCCTCCATCTCAAGTGCTTGTAACTCTTATGAAATGACTATATCTGAACTAGGTTTTGTGCCTTTTGTGTCTCACCCTTTGCCACTGCAGGTGCCTGCAGGGAACATGGATGTAGACATATTACTACATATAAAAGCTGAACTCCTAAGTTACATTCCTCTGCAGCAGCTGGAGACGAGAGTCTCCAAATCATGCTCATGTACTTAATAGCATGTTGAGCAACTTTGCTCAAATGCGTAAAGACATGCTGAGACAGTGTATTAAGAAAGGCTGAGACCTAGTAATATCTTCCTCTTCTACTTCATCTATGCTACACTGTGCTGGAAAATATGTTGACTGGTAAGTTTTAGCCACAGTAAGGGTCTGATTTAAGTACCAGTTAGTTAGAGGTTGTGAGTAAACACTGCTTTCCAGCACAAACCACCCCTCTCAGTATGGTCAATGCATTGAACAAGTCCCATTGTATCTGCTACTTGAATTGTGGAAGAGAAGCCACTGCACAGGTAGAAAAAGACCCCTTCTAAACTCCTCTCAAAGTAGTCAGTAAGATGGAAGAAGAAAGTGTTAGGACACACTGCTGTTTTAAATTGAGATCTCTGTCCTTCCGATACTATCAACAGAGTAACCGCTGGCAAGACTTGCAGCTGATAGCTCTCCTCCTTAACTGAACTGTTATTATGGAGAAACAGGCTAGCTATCAGTTTCCACAGTGGTAACCACAGAACTCAGAGAAATGTACTGATCTACTAGGAGGCAAACACTGGGAACCAGCCATTCATACCACTCAGGCTTCAGGCAGGGTGGATGCGCAGCTGCTACAGGTAAGAGATTTGCAACAAAGAGCATTGTCATGGATATGAGGCTCTGGATTTGACCGGCCTTCCTCTCAGTCTCAGAACAGTTAAAAACCCAGGTAAATACTTGTGTGCTTCATCTTAGACCTCTGCTAACCTTTCACCACTCTGTCTTGAGCGTATCTCTGTTTATCTTACCCTGAATAACATCGAGCTTTCTTATCTAAGCAACAACTGCCTCCCAGCATTAAAGCTTACCCATCAGCTGCTTCCCTGACCTGATGCGCACCCCAAATGTTTCTGGTCATCCAGAAACATCCATGTGAACTCAGAGCTTTTACTGGGCGTGCAGATTCATGCAGGAGCCCAACATCTGTGAGAAATCCTGCTCAATACTTTTGAGCCTTCCAAGGTTGGGTGTGATTCATGTAAATCAGATGGTATAATTTTATTTTTTCAGTAGGGCCAGTGGGACCAACCAATGGTCCAATGGGACCAACCTGCAGGCAGAGAATTACTACTTAAAATCTGAGTCAGGTCAGAATCTGGCTCCATCTAATAACTATATAGGAAAAGTAAGATTATTCCTAAAGCAATAATAAAGCCACTTGAGATTTTTTTTTTTAATAAGCACCAATATCTCATATTACTCGTTAGTACATAGCATCAGCAATTGATATAATACTTCCCCCAAAGGACTGGGCAACTCAGAAACATTCATACGTAAGGCAAATCAGAAGTCACCCACAAAACGGAACAAGAAAGGACATCAAGGTCCTAACCAAGTATAAGGAATATTTTTCTTACGAAATGCTTGAATTAAGAAAGAAACAGGAATTGAAACAGAGCAGGATGCTGTCCCTGCCTGGCACTACAGGAAAGAGCTGATTTCATGATGATCTTTACTCTTGGAACAAGAAAGCACAAATGTTCATCGGAGACTAGGAAACCAAAGGAAATACCAAGATGAAAGAGTGCAGCAAAGATGCATGCCTTTCTGTATCATTTAGATGAAAACATTAAAATTGATGGCAAGACATTTAACTAGCAAATAAGCTTAAGAGGGGAAGGGGAGAAACCCAAAAAGATGCAAGTGCAAATATTGCAGATGGCTTGAAACCACAAGTAATTCCCTATAGATTCACTCAAGTCAAAAGCTACAAATGAGGAGAGATCTACAGGCCCACCTAGTCCCACTTAAATCACCTGTTAGTCTACAGACTATTAGAGACCAGGGTAGTCCTGGCATGTAATTACTGCCAGTACCTGCTTGCTTAAGCAAGGCAAGATCAAAGTCACTGGAAAAAAAAAAAAAAAATCAACATTTTAACAAAGAGATTTGTAATTATGAGCTTGAAAACAAAATCTTCAGGCAAAAATATCAGCAAACACTCATTTATGCCACCTAGCTCTTTGGATACCATAGCACTGTTCATCACGGTACATTTTACAGGGCTCAGTCCAGTTGGATTTCAAACACCGTGCACCAGGAACAGCAGGTTCTCCGGATCATAGTCAGAGCCACCCTACATTAGCAAGGTTTGTTCGAAACTGCTCTCAAAATCTGCCCTTCTGAGTACTAGTCCATTAACCCAACCTGAACAACTCTTTGCCCTCTATCCTTGTGCTTTGCAAGTATTTGCTGCTAGCCTTCCTCTCCCCTTGTCAAGTCTTCTTCCACCCAGCTTTAACTTTGTTTTCCACGCTGAGCATTTTAGCCTCCCTCCTCCTACCACCTGAGCATGCAGGGCGAAACTTACGGTGCTCGGTCGTGGTTCAACCCGTTCTGTCTTTGTGCATTTATTGGAGGTAGAACAGGTTTGCTGTTAATCTCAAGCCCTCTTCGCAGAGTCTCCCTGATTTGCTCTGTATCTGCAAAGATATAAATTTTTATTTAGCATTATTTAGAGTCCCCCAAAACATCACAGACACAAGAAGACGTCAGCTTTTTTTTTTAAAGGCCTGTTTCTATGGTGTGTTTCATCTAAACTCTCCCCCTTCAGAAAGAAATGAAGAGATGCTAAGGGTGAATTCTTAACAGCTCTTCCTGCACCTTAGGAGTTATTTCACTTTATAAAGTCAGCTTAAATTCTCTTGGTTTGGGCTGCAATGTTATGTCAGACAAGGAGAGCTGGAACCTTTGGTACTGAGCCCTCCTGATGAGGAAATTCTGAGTAGTTTTGCATCCTCTCATAAATGACGTGTTTGCTGTCTCTGCACCTCTCACAGAACCTCCTGACACTTCCAGCCTTTGTGCTGGAAGTCACTTTTCCCATTAGGCATAACAGGAATTTGTTCCTTTACCAAACAAGTGCAAGGAGGTTCCTGAGTTTTTGCAACTGGCTTTGCAAATGTGTATTAATTTACAACATGATCCACAAAAGAAAGGAATTTTATGCAGGGCAAACTTTAGCCTCAAGCTCACATTTGAAAATAAACTGCAAATTATTCAGTTCAGATGTAGTCTTTTTACTTTTTGATTTTCCTATAATGTCTAGTGGCCAAATACATTAATACGATGCTTTCCTACCTTTCTTAGAAGTTTCCTTATCTGTTTTTGAGAAATGTGGGAATTGGGTAGAGAAAAAAATATCCAAATTATTTCAAAATCTTTTGAAGGATAAACAAATATCACCATGTATACCTGTCTTGGGCTTTTCATTTGCAGAGCTGAGGGAAAATAGCCTTTTTAGATCCAGTGCAGCTCAAAATATTTGCACAGAAGCCAGAAGGAACCCTACGTGCATTTAAATATTTTTTTTACCATGGACTTAAAAACAAGTAAGATACCATTCCTGTGGAAACCATCATTAATTCCAGGAAATCTCGAGCCCTCAAATTTTATGTTGCTTCACCCATTTGAAAGGTAACATGCATAATTTCAAGCATGTGTAATGGCTATGACATCTGTACACTGAGATGGCATCTCATTGCAAAGGGGAACTCCACCATATTTTACTACTTCTTTCCAGAGTTCCGTATTTGCAAGAATCACTTGAGTTCAGCTACAGCAATGTGCAGTGTCAGTCCAACTTGCCACCCAAGAAGTGACAATGTTAATAAGGAAACACAGCCTGGGAAAATGCAGTTGCTTCACCTTGCAGGTGTTTACAGTCCTGGTTTCACCCAGTGCTCAGTTTAACTTTGCAGATTTAGAATAGAAATAGCCTAAAAACTGAAAGAAACATTTAGACAAAACAATGCAAAGATCTCTCTTCCTCTCTCCTGCCTTCCTCAAAGAGGCCACACCAAAATTCATTTTGCTCCCAAGACATACTGAGCCTTCCAGTAACTGTGGTGTTTGTTATGAACCCCAAAATGCTGCATGAATCAGCCCACTGCCCAGACCCATCAGAAAACCAAAAGGCCATGACAGTGACTCTGCCCAGGACCTCTTACCTTTCCCAGAGAGCCGCCGCGGCTGGGTCCCAATGCAAATGCTCCTGCTGTCTTCGTCATCCTCCGGGGGCCGGCTGAGATCATCCCAGGCACATTTGGCACTCACTCCACTCAGGTTTGAGCCATCTGTCTCAATCCCTTTGTCAACTCTCTCCTGCTTGAAAAGATCCAAAACCCCAAGACTTTTTTGGGCGTGGCTTGAACCTGAGCTGGAACCCACCCTGGCTCAACCCAACCTTCAGCAGCTCCTGCATCTCCCCCCTCCGCAGCCAGTTTCCACTCTCTGGCCCCCGTGCTTTGATTTATCACCTAACAGTGACTGCACATTGAGCCAAATCAGGGAGCTGGTCTGAACTGGAACAAACCTTTTCCATAGCAGGTTGGTCTGAACTCCTACCCCTTTCCCACTACTTCACTATGTGGCCCTGGCAGGTACAAAGCAGGGAAAGATAGCGGTGGAAATCAGTGGCCTGGGGTATGCAGGGTTGCTTCTTTCAGTGTTAGCTCCAGTTTACACCAACTCAAAGTATTTATGACACTACATTATACACTCCTGTACGAAGCACAGCTTGGCAGCCTACCTATTACATGTCAATGATAACAAACCCCCGAAAAACTAAACTTAAGTTCTCTTTCCAAGCTTACTGAGGAGTCCCCACAATGAAAACAGCTCACAGAGAGACTCCTCATTCACAGCAGTTCATCATTTGCAAACTGCCCAGACAACCACTGCTTTTCAATGTGCTGGGGTGTTCAGTAAAGGACAAACGTGCAAGAAGACACAGGTCTGTTCACAATGTCAAAGCTTTTGCATAGCTTTCTCTATTGGCAAAATACACAAACTCCCTCCCTTGCAAGTTGGATTTTCCAAGCATGTAACCACCATTTGGGTCTCGGAATTGTCGCACACCAACCACAAGCAGCTGCATACTCTCAGACACCATGCATTTTCTCAAGGACATGTGCATCTGTTGCCAGCAAGACTGCCCTAAGCTGCAGCCAAAAGTTCCACAGGACACCCACCTGCTAGGGGAACTGGCATTAGTCTGAATTTCCACCTATGTCCCACAAGGGGGTAATGTTGAGCTGAACAAACACAGGGCTGAGCTACACCGAGGAAGGGCTGCTCTTACCGCTGTCACCTCTCCCCTGGCACTGAATCAACCCAGCTCGTTTTCCTCTCTTCTGAAGGGGTGTCACTTCTTGTACCGCTCAGTGGCACCAGCAAGACCGCCATCTCACTGCTTACATCTGGGTCACCTCGGAATAGGCAGTAAGTCCCACTGCTTGTGGGACAGAAACTTTGAAGATTTGAGGAAAGAACAGAGCTATGTTACGCACAACAGGAGCAGATCTCTCCCCCTGTTATTACTACCCTTCAGTTTGACCTTGCCACTGGTGTCAAGAGACCGTGGGAGCATCCAGCGCTTTGCAAAATCTGTTCCCCAAGAAGCAGTTTCCAGACTAAAACCCACATATGTTCCTCCCCTTGCCCAGCTGCAGACACTGCACCCTAGGAAAGGGCATTGCCTGTTCTTGTGACCATTCAAGAGAGGATTTGAGCAGCTCAAAGATAAGCAGAAGCACTCAGGGTGTGGCTGCACAGCAGTTTAAGTTGATGTAATTCACAGTGGCTGCAGTCCCACCCTCCTCCATGTGCTCCTACCCCTTCCCTTGAGCCAACTCTTTTTTTTTTTTTTTTTTTTTTTTTTTCAGATGGATCACCTCCCTAAACTGGCTCTTTGGCCCAAGAGTGGAGGCAGAAGCCTGTGGCTGGGGGCAGGACCAGAGCAGTCCTGACTTAGATTTAAGCATTCAAGACACTGCCTTCCTTCCGCCTCTCTCCCTGAAAGACTACTCCTCTTTGGGATCTTCCTCTGGCGTCAGGGGAGACTGGCTTCTATGAAAACGTAATGGGAAAATCTGAGAAATAACAAATCTGCTGGGATTTTCTTTTGTTATATCCTAAACATAAAATTAGTTGTTTCACCCAGAAATAGAAGTTGTGGGAAAAAAAAATAAAAATACATCTGATCCTACATATGCAAATGATGCTCTATGTAAGATTTTAGCATATGGATCCTTCCAGAGCCCACCAAGGCGCTCTGTGAGGACCCAAATCAGCTGGCATGGGGAGGTTTAACTTGTCAGCATGGTTATTTTTCATTCCAGTGATTGGGGAAACATGGGAGAGCCACCAAACTTGCCCTTGAGCAGGGAGCAGAAGAGCCCACAGGGCCCTGAGGACTCATCGGGCAGAGGCTCTGGTGGGATGTCCTTCTCCACCCCTGCAGCCAAGGCCCCCGCTCACAGCCACAGTGGGGGCCTCCGGACAGTGCGCAGAGCCTCGGGGAGGGGGAAAGGGACTCATCATCTGCGTCTCAGCTGGTTTGCAGAGCACTTCCTCAGGGGAAGAAGTGCTGCTCTGTTGGCATCCCTTGGAGATCAAGGGGGGCTGATGGAAATGAGCTGGCCTAAGGCAGCCTAATTTGCATGCCTGTTTTATAACGTTTGCAAGTATTGATGTTGAAGGGGGAAAAACACCAAAAAACCCCTAATCAGTGCAGACTCTCAGCTGGGGCAATGCACAGCTTTACCCCATCTTTAGCCAGCAAAGAGGTGCCTGGGCTGAGGGGCTGTTCTTCCTCCCTTGAAAGGGCAGCCTGAGCAGGAGGTTGGAGGAGCCCAGGGCAAAGGAGGTTCAGCTTTTTCCTTCCTCAAAGAAAGGATGTTTCTGTCCCATTTTCCTCTCAGCATGTGGGAGAGATGCTCTGAGGCTCTTATAAGTCATTGATCCCTTTCTAAACAAGCCAGAGCACTGCAGCGTGACCCGCAGAGCGGCAACCACAACTCAGGAAATTCAAATCAGCTTTATTCTCTTCTGAGATATCTGCTAAAACAGAAGCAAAGCACTGAAAATCAGCACAGAGCTGGGGACCAACCGGGATTGTTTGACAGTGCTGCCAGGGAAATCTGAATGGCCTACAGGGAAGCCTGGCTGCACAGAAAACAGCCAGCGTTGCCACAGCATTAATTGCTGACATCCTGGGATGACATCTTAGTTGGGATCCATTCTCAGCAACTCCGAACAGAAAGTACAGCTGCTGCTGCCAGGGCTGGGTTTAGGCCTCAACCAATTCCCACAAGAGACAATGCAGCCTCAAAACAAGCTCTGCCCGCTTCCCAGGCAGGCAATGTGCTTGCCTGCTCCCAGGAAAGTTGTCTGTTTTCTCTGCCTGCTCCCTCCCTCCCCTCCACCTATCTTCCACTGCTGCCTTTCAGCTCTCACAGACCCTGTACCACCACCAAGAAAAAGCCAAGCAAATAACACTTTATCTTTTCCCCACTAATTAGAGCAGGAGGCACATGATGTGGCTGAACCCAGCCTGAAACAGCCTAGCTCCCTGCACTCAGCAAAGGCTCTTTGCGGGACTCTGCGTCACAGCAGCAGGTTTTGCCCTGTGAATCCCCAGGGGCCGCAGAGCACAGCAGGAAGGAGGTACACACACACACACACCTGTGCATACACACTACTGCAAGGGCAAGAGAGAACAGAAACAGGAATGTCTTCAATGTGAGGAAGTCCGGAAAGACCACAGACATAGCAGCTTTCAGTGGCAGGACACACTGGTGAGGCAGAGGTACTCTTTATTTGCCTTAACTTGCCTTGGCTGACTCAGATTCCAGTAAGCTGAGCTACTTTTCATTTACAGTAAATTGAAGAAAACCCTGTTATCATCAGGAATCACCAGTGTGCAGAGAACAGAAACACCCTCCAGGAGGGGAGAGGGCAAAATTTTTAAGAGCCTAAAACCTTTACAGGACTTGCAGTTGTATTAGCTCCCATATTGTGGGACATTTGTGGAACATTTTTTTTGGTGTGTCTCAGACCGGGGTTATTTTAGATGAACAAAACCTTAAAAACAGTAAAAGTAGAATTTGGTTTTGTTCTTAAGCTTTCAAAATAAAAGATGCTGTGAGGCAACTGAGGGTAATCAGATGCAGACACGCAGACCATAAAGTAAACGCAACAGCTTGTACAAAACGTGCACATATGCACGTGCCCTACCAGGCTAAGCCATAAGTTCTCTGTTAAAGGCAAATACTCAGTGATTCACTGAAACAAGGTCAGCACCACACTGGATTTGCCTGGGACCCATGTACTTCAGTACTGTAACTCTGCTGAAGAGATGCAGAAATGTCTCCCAAATGCACAGATCAGCAGTAGTCCATGGGATGGTAACCTCTCCATAGAGGTCCTATTCTGATCTTGAAACTTCAGAAATTAACTTGAACTCTGAAGGTTTACTATATCTTCCTGCATGGATTATTAATAACTGCATGAGATACTTCTAGCTTCCCACTGTTTCGCAGACCACACTAACTACTTGGCTTCAAGTGACATCCTACAGGAATGAGCTACACTGTCACACCTGCTGTGAAAAAATATTACTTAGTTGGTTTTGAGTTTTCTGCATGATGTAGCTCTTTACGCTTGCATATAAAACAAAGGAGGAATTTCCTGATCTATCATCTCTAAATCTTGTATTGTCCTATATTCTTTTATCTTCTTCTATTTTCCTCCTTTCTAAAACATGCAGTCCAAATCTTACCAATTTGTCTCATATATGAGATTCTGTTTTCCTGGTCTCTCTTCTCTAACTTTCTTCCTAGAGCTGCCATCCACCTGGGACTGGACATGTGCACTCTCAAACCACCTCTGAGAGGGCAAAAGTCTCTAAGACTTTTCCAGGATTATTGCAAACATTGAGAAGACCACAGCACCGTTACAGAAAATAATAGGACTGCTTTATACCATTAAACCAATTCTCCCTGGCTACTACAAAAGACATTTTTGTATGTCTTTTTATCAAAAAGACATGACATTTTATAAACTGAAGACATACTTGCAGATGTGGGTCAATCTCGAATATTGTCTCTCCTCTTCGCATATCTGTTATCAACCAGGGGCCTCCGGCTCTACACAGAAAGAAAGGTAATGAACCAAACAAGCACTTTAGCTAGTACTCCCCAACAGAGTCCTCAGAGCGGACCTGCACTGGAAAGAAGCACAAGGTAGAGTTTAAAACAAGCCTCGAAGCCCTCTATGTTGCGTATACATCCCATAGCACGCATTTGTCCTTTACATTTCCCAAATAAATAATGAAAGCTCTCCATGACCTAGCTGTTATCTGCCTAGTGTCTGGCACCACCAAGTCTTGCAAAGCAGTCAGGATTGACACAGGCTATCCCCTGTGTGGACCCACTTACTCATACAAGACTGAACTGTGTTTTAATCTTACAGGTACCCCAACTGGGACTGAGAAGTCCAGTGTAGCCTATGTCTAAGAAAGATAGGCAAAGCATAGGGTCAAGATTTATATCTCTACTACATACTTAAAGATGCAGCAGGGTCCCAATGGGACTGCACTTTTTGCTGAGATCAGCAGTCATATTCAGTACCATAAAAAGCTTATTGCTCTGATAAATATCCTCACAATAGATGTTTTGCCCAGTTGGTACTTAATGGCTGAGTACTCAGATGGTTCAGGGAAAATCTTTGTTTTCATTAGCAATAAAAGTCACAAGGGTCAAGATGCTTCCCAACAAAGGTGATAGAAAACAGATTACTGTGAAGATGAACTACTTGGAGACTTTACTTTGGGTCACAGTGCAGGCAGACTACAGAAGTCAGCCTTAGATGGTGCTTTTCATCTGAAGTAAAAACTGAAGTCTTCTGGAATTGCCATAAAAATTTTCATTTCTTTCATGAGATACTTTGTTATTGCAGTCAAAAGCCCCCTCCTCTGGCCTTGTCTGTGTTACAGTCTCCTAAAGCACTTGGAGTGGGAGCAATAAAAGTTAATATTTTATAGCTTTTCAGATGCATTGATAGCCACTCTTTTTTCACATCACTTTGGAAGCTGTTAATTATTAACTGCAGAGGTGTGACCTGCTTCAGTTCCTCACTGGGATGCAAGAGACCATTACCCTGACTCCACATCAGCGGCTTAGTGGTTCGCAGCTTTGCCTTCAAATCATGTACATTTGGGTTTAATTTTATCCTTGGAAAGGTGCTTGTACCACAGCACAAAGGCCAAAAACCAACACAAGAACAGACTGAGGAGTGCTATATCTGTATTGACTTAGAGGAGCCAAGGGAGCTGCACACAGTGTTTATTGTCTTGGGGTCCTAGAAACAAAGCTTGCAGCTGGACAAATTCACTTGTACTCTAGAACACTTGCATGAATTACCTGCACTTGTGCCTAAAAGGGGAAAGTTCAAGCTTAGGAAGTCCAGCAGCAAAGGCTCTTCCAAATAATCCATCAATTAAAGGCCATTGTGACACTAGACAGTGTACTATTGTGCCCAGGAACACATATTCAGAACTATTTTGTCCTAAAAAAATCTTTTGAGCTACAATCACACAGCAATAACTTCTACTAAAGATAAGAGAAAAATATTTAAACAAAACACCTGCAAGCCAAAAAAGATTAGGTCCAATCATTTTAAAACCCATCTCTTCCTTAATGACATCTTTGGGTTTTTTTGCCATGGGAGAAATAACAATGAACTCCACTTGCATGAACACTCCACCAAGAGTGGGGCCAGTTTGAGAGTGACTTTCTCACTTTCAGACACTACCCAAGTTTTGCTAGCCACTGTAAGTCAGACCCTCTCCTTCCTTTCTTTTAAACTACACTGAGAGGTCACCAGTAACAGTTATCCCAGCTCTCTCAGGAAGAGCCAATGAGAAAATGCTGCAGGCATAAAAAGAAGGAAATTAAGCTTTCAAGACCTCATTCTGTTTCACCCTGAACATGTGGACTTCCACATGCATTAATTTGCCATCTAAGTGTCTGTGCGTGAGAACAGATTTGCAATCAATTCCCATCTCTTGCTACAGCACAGGATTAAATAAGTTCCATCAACAAGTTAAAGATTGTTAATAAAAATAAACAACTGAATTGTTCTCTATGGGAATGGTTCCCTACATGGACTATATAAGCACTTACACTGGGACAGTCCGAAGCAGTTCCAAGATCCCTTGCCCGTTCCACTGCTGAGCCGCATGCAGTTCCTCAGTGCAAACCCCAACGATCTGGAGTAAATGAAAACAGAGATACTAAACTGGATGGGAACCATGCAAGAACTGTAGAGAAAATGTACCATGTGGTGCTGGATCAAACAGTGCAGATAGAGAGAAGCACCATTTCTTTAAACTAACTAGGTGAGCAAGGACAAATGGAGCCTGAGACAACAGATGGATTCTACAATTCCTTATGCCCTCTCTCTACACTTACCATGTGAAGTGCCCTGGTCACATAACATTTAATCTTGCATGGCATGTGTGAACTTAACTATGAAGAGGGCCCGGTGGCAAATCAAGGTTTACTGAAGATCCACTAGTCTGTTCTCACCTTTCAATCTAGTCCACACAAGACAGGACAGGTTAGGGTCTGAGCACATGCAAAACACTGCTCTGTTAGCCAAATGCTAGGGGCAAATGCAATACTGCACCAGCAGTTTCAATCAGGCAAGGGACTCGCTGCCACAAGGGAGTGCTTTGGTGCTCATAAATCCTTGACCAACTCAGTTTGCTGACTGGTTACATCTTATCCAGCACCATAAAGTAAAGCTGCTTACACATCACATAATCCACTCGTCACTGCAGGCAACTGCAGACTTCTGCTCTCCTGTATAAGGCAGGATGTGTTTGCTTTTCAGGATGGGAACCGCCACACTGAACAATACCAGATGTCTCTCTCACAGCAGCTGAGATCAGCCACTTCAAATGAAGGGGTGAAACACCCTTCAGCTGATAGAGGAATGCAGTTTCTTCCTGATCCATCAACCACTGGCTTGTGCCTTTGAGCACAATGATTTGCTCTTTGGGATGAAAAATTATTTTAGCCATTGCTGCCTATTTCCTTCCTCAACACTCTAAGCCTTTTCCAACGACGCTGAATTTTCGATCAAAATCTGTTCAACTGATGTTTTTTCAGAAAAGAGGAAAACCAAAAACTAAGTTCTGAAGACCAGCAAGCAGAAGTGCATGATGTGCCTTTGCTGCAAGCACTTATCTGCACTGATAGAGATCCGCGTGGAAAACCGTCAATGTCAGCATGTACTCGAGTTCTGCACACCCTACTTCCCCTGCTCCTTGCAGAGCTCATTTTCTCAGGACCCAACCCTTGGAGATGCTCTTCATCCCCACCCATCTCCCAGGCCTCCTCCATGAACAGCCTGAATCACCCTCACTTCAGGACACCCCTCCCCGGGCCTTCACTCACTAATTACATATAAACAGCAAGACTCTAAACAGGAAATTATTTTGTGTTCATTCTTTTCTTTTTGCAATCATTTCTCCTCATGGATCAAAATAAATCCATAACAACAAGCATCAAACAAAGGGGAAAAACAAGTCAACTGTATGTGTGGTGGATGATTAGAGGCCAAGAGCCTCAGGATGCAACAAGTTGACTGTCTTTTGATCCAGGACAGCTGGGTACTAAAGAAGAGATGCGGACTAATGCAGCACTAACTGGGGAGTCAGCCAGGAATAATCCTGTTTAGCTTGGCTCTCTGTCTCTCTTTCCAGGTCCCACAACTCACCTTTCGCTGATTTATCCCAAATCCATCTCTTTCTTGTTGATAAAACAGACTTTTGGGCACCTCAGAAAATTCAGGAAAGCCTTTGCCCTTGCACAGCAGTTGTCTTGTGCAAGTCTGTGGTAATGGAGCTTCCCCTTACATGTTGCAACTACAGCCAAGGACAAACGGGAGCAACTCAAAGCTTAAATTGTAGAAGTGTATAGACACTTGCATTTTCCCACAGGATAGAAGCTTTTCCACAGAGCAGGGAAAAATCAGCAGTTGGCATAAACTATGCCAGCTCTTCTACTAAGGATAATAACTCTATATGCAATTTAAAAATATCCAAAGCAGCCCATATCTAAGAGACATCACTGAGAAGAAGGATTTGGGGAAAGCAAGCAAACATGTTTGGCCAAGAAAGCTCCCCTCACTGAACAGTAGGGTTAAATTGGCAAGGGATTTTTTAAATGTTTCTTTGGCAAAGCAAACCTGAACCTCTTAAACAGTAGATCAATACAGGAGAACTCACTTAGCCTCTAAAGAATCTTTGTGTCAATGCTGCAAGCTACATTTCTGCTATTAAATAACACTAAAGCAACTCTGAGTCCTTCTCCAAACTCTTCTTTACCTGGAACTCAAACCAGTGGATCGCTTATCAATAATGACATAGAATTAAATTCAATTTAGCTCTACATTACCTTTTAAAAGTGTTTCTCTCAGCCTTTTTGCCTATGTTCATGTTTGAAATTTCAGGGCAGTAATGTAATATTCAACTCCAGGTCTGTTTTGGGGTGTAAACCTTCTCTCCATCAGACAGACCTCTATCTTAAGAACCTAGTGTGCCATTGCTCAGTCCTGTTAAAATGCTTACTGAATGCCTCCAGAGTAACAACTCAAAGATGAGATCCACGGTAATCAAATAAGGAAGAAAGATGGAAGACAGGATAATAAACATCTGGCTTATCAAAGCTAAATGAAATGTAATGTTAGCCTCATTCCACATCCAGAAGGTGACAGTCAGAGCCACCATTGCTGCATCATACCTGTAGGAAAGTAACGACCCCAAAAGGAGTTTGTACTGGCTGCATCTGAGGGTCTTCTGTCAATAACATATGCTGGATTCTAGATTCACTGTTGTCCAAAGGGCTGTGCCATGATACATGGTCACCACTGCAGAAGGTGTTTTCTGCAAGGAAGAGAAGCAAGAAATATTTAGTCCATAAAGTCTGCCAGGATATTCCTTCTGTTAGCATCTGCTCCTGACTGCTGCCAGGCAGGGACCTCTGGTCTGGACTAGGACAGTCGCTCATGGCTATTCACAGTGACTGCCTCCAGCCAGCTCTGCTGAGTCTCTGAGTCAGCTGAAGCACCTGAAGCAGGAAAGAAGTCTCCTTGAGCCATATGAATTCAAGCACTGACTTTAAAATCACCCCTCTTGATTCCTGTGGCAAAAAATGTTGTCCTGCTTTGATATTAATCCCAACACAGGAATACCAACAAATAAAGTTAGCTTGTCTCTCATTTGCTATTAGTCTTGTTTTGTGAGAGGGCACAGAGAGTCATCAGGACATACTGAATGTCTGTGGGATGGTGATTCACACTTAATTTGCAGCTCTGATTTGCCACAGAGAAAAGGTCCTGAAATTTGAATTAAATACAAATAATATTCTGCTATATCTAATAAAAATCCACAGTCTGCTGCCCAACTTGTGATGGTCTAAGTCAAAGTCACTTTCTCTTCCAATTGTCTGGTGGCTCTGGTGCAGAATTATAATTAATATGCTCCTTCTTACCCAAACAATGAGAAAACCAGTAGGCTATAAATTTCATTCTATGTCAGAATAGACTGCATCAAAACAAAGAGCCAGAAATTATCTGTCCTTCTTCACAACTGTAAGCACTCCTTTCTTTTCTTCTTCTGCTACTTAGAAAGACAAAACCCCCAGATAATCCCATGTTCCATAGCTGATGCACGCCAGAAGGCACACCAGAACCCTTCTGTATGCTGCTGTCCCATCACAGGAAAGGCTAATGCTTGCTTTCTGGGTGAACTAGAAGTAAAACAACCAACCACGACCATTTTCACACCAATTAAAGAATGCTCCATTTGCACACAGATCCTAGAGCACGTGTGCAATAATGCTGCCTAGCCCACTGCCTTGTCCTCAGGTCTTGTGCTTGTCCCACTCCAGGGAGAGCTTTTATAGCACATACAAATAAACAGCCTAGAATCCATATTCTGCCCTCTGACATAGGTATAGTGTCCCGGGGATGAACTGAGTACTGCCTGCCTGCTTCCAAAGTCAGTGGCAAGCACAGAGCCCCTCTCCCTGACCAAGCTCATTGATGAAGGCAGTTTGGGCTGCAGTCCTCACTGTGGTCTCTCCCAAGGCCACACTTAACAGGAGAGTGGGAAGGGATGCCTTGCCCACTGGAGGAGGACTAGGACTTCCACTGCAGACTGGAAAATATTAGTGGTTACTAGAGTTGCTGTCTGTCGAGACTGGAACATCTCACATGATACAGAGCAGGATCCAATTCAGAGAAGTGTTCTCTGTCCTGCAGCTACAAGCAGATGTGGTCCTGGATCTTCACCTAACCTTCCCACATGACCTTCCAAACACATGTCAATAGGACATCTCTTAAATAACTATCTATAGGGCTCATCTGAGAATCCTTGCACGTGGCAGCTTCTGCAGCAGCAAGAGAGAAGCAGCATTTGCCAGTAATTGCAGCTTTGTCCCCAGTCACATTAAACAACAGACACCGAGGAATCGGGTGCTTGCACGCCACTCACCATGCATCAGCACCACCACGACTGCGTGCACATCCTCTTGGCCAGCAGCAAGTGCAGGATGCTTCGAGGGAGCCATCAGCGGCAGGCAGGTAAACTAATGAGGGTTCTCTCGCAGCTGCTGTAGTTAAAAATACTCCCAGTCATCTCACTGATGAGCTAACTCATGCTCACCCATTCCTGGGTTTAATGCAGGGTGTCCTGGGCAACTCGTAGTTTCTCCACCAGGTGTCCCCATTGGTGTGTGTTTGAACATCTATTACATATGTTTTTTCTGATGAATTTCTTAGACAGCTCATTTGATTAAGAATTAAAATAAACTCCAAATACCATAAGGAACTTGGCCCGAAAAACAAGGCATGTACCAGAAGTGTTGTGATAAGTAAGGGAATGTTTTCCTTAATTAAAATTAGGAAAGAAAACATAGCAAATGCAAGCCGCTTGAAAGAAAGACTTTATCGTTATGTACACTAAATTACAGGCTTTCAGCTCTGCAACTGAAAGGAGCGGTTCAGATATTAATTTACTTTCGGAGTTGGGGAAATATAAGCAGACAAAAATGAAAAACATCTTTTTTTTTAGTATCAAAATTGGATTAAAGAAACAGCACTTAGAATGTTGCAAAGGATCTTGTGATATTTTCCAGGTTAGCCAAAATGTGGCTCGTTACTTTTTTTTTTTTAATCATAAAAGCCTCTCAGTCACAGTTTTCAGGAATGAAACAAAGCCACAAAGACCTTATTCTTGGGCCCTGTCTTTATACCACAACATTTTGCCCATCAAATGCTCACACAATTCTATGCTGATCGATCGCTGCATTTCACTGCTGGTGCTGCTTCTCCTGGGAAAGCCCAGCCCGTTTAGAGCAGGTTTTCAAATGCAAATGTCTCTGCTGGAAACCCACCTGTTTACATCCATGTGAACACTGAACACTTAGAAAATCTCCCTCTCTCTTGCATGCGCACGAATACCACAAAATTCACACTGACTACTCAATTAAAACACACAAAAAAATTCTGCAAATAACATGAAGCCAAATTAAAACCTGTAAGAGTGCAAGAAATTCAGAATTACAGCCTGAAACTCAGCGCCTCCTTGCTGCATTGTAACCCATGTGGAATGTAAGATCAGCTCTTGTACAGAGACCACTGCAGCACTGAGGACAGCTTGAATTGCAGCACTTGTAGCCACAGAAACTAAGAAATTACAGAAACAAAGGACTAGATAACCACTTGCTCTTGCCTCATGCTGGAAACACAGATGAGCATCCTCCCTTCCCACCTTTCACACTCACGTTTTCAAAATAAGACAATCAAAATCTTTCTAAACATTTAAGTTTTAAACAATGTTTTACTCAGAAAATCCTAAAGTTTTCATAAACAATTCCAAAGTAAATTTATAACTAAATTTGTGGCTTTCACAAATGTCGAATTAGAATATAAAATATCCAAATAAATCCTCAAAGTTATCACAGCACAGATCAATGTGAAGTCTCCTGTGGTTTTTGCACCTTTCTATCATTTGCAGTGCTGTCAATAACACATTCTGTACAACCTGCCTTTCATCCACAAACACGTACAATGTATTTCCTACATGTATATACATATTTCCATAAAACCAAGAGATGAGTAGGCACAGGACACATGCTCATCTCAGGTACACGAGGAGCACAAACACCTTACAAGGAGCAACATGCTTCAGTTAGGACATGCCTAACAACAGCTTCTTTTGTTCCCAAAAACGCATCCCCGTATCTCTCATACCATGTGGACTAACCTGAGGAACAGCCTGCCACCTCCAAACTAATTTCTGACATCTGTTTTGCACTGCTATGAACCAAGAATGGGACTAGTACCTTCAGTGATAATGATGCCAATATGGGTCTCTCAACAACATTCATGGTTTTATAGCCATACCTCTCAGATATCAAACAAGACAGCTACTCACAACTGGAAGCTACTTATACACAAAATACTTGAAAATACAGACGTGAAAATAGGCATTAATAAATATGTAAAAGAAACATTGTACGTAAAAATAAAAGATTACAGGAAGACGTTTATGTCCATGGAGCACTGACCCAGTCTGACAGGACTCACTGCTACAAGCATCCCCAAACAATTTCTAGTTTTAGGCCAAAACATGACTCCCCTTTCAGATAAGCACAGAACATTCCTTTGCAAATTATCTCAGTTTAGTAAACCTGAAAGTTTACAGTCTCGGCAACAAAGCTGGTTCTGCAAGTATCACATCACCCCACCGATGCTAACCGCCTCTGCTTTATCCAAGCCCATTAACAGAAACTACTCATCCAACAGTTTTCACTCTTAACAAGCTCTGCTATGACAACCCTTTTGACCTGCTGTAATGCTGTGCAGATTAGCACCTATGGCAAAGTTTCTTAATGGTTTTGAGGAAGGATTGAAGCACAACAGCTGTTACAGAAGTCCTTTTGCACTGTATTTCCTAATGAGACAAAGTAATTTGCGTCCAGAATCCAGGAAAAGGTGAGATGGCTTTCAGCAGTAGCTGTGAAAAATAAAAATCATGGACTTCTACTGAACAAGCACCCTCTCCACCATTACAAGAGGGCAACAATCGGTCTGGGAGCAGCAAATGCCAGGACTCGAGTGTCATGTGCTGCTGCTGCAGACTTCTGCTTCTCTGAACTTCTGTATTACCTGTCTCCACAGCAAAGGCAACAAGAGATGTGACCTGTCCAGGGAAATAATTTTATATAATCGGAAGAGTTTGATGTATTCTTGTAATAGCAAGCCTCAAACCAGTTGGTGTGTTCCCATGCTCAGGAGTAAGCTTGGAGAAGACTTCTATGAATGGGGGAACTACGGATGCTCTCTTCTCTGTGGGTGAGCATGTTGTGGATGGACTCACCATAGCCTAAGGAGGAAGGACCTCCGACTAAAGCTTTTACTGCAGCTATGGCATGCACTGGAGGACCCTATCTAGGTTCACTTGTGCCTAAGGTGAAGCACAACACATCTCCACTCCTCTCCACTGCAGAGGGCACAGTTAGCATTTTTACTCACCTGTTCATTTTTACAGTCCTTGTAAAACAAAGTCTCTCCAAGAGCCCTACCACAATGTTAAGTCTGTTTGACACTGGCCAGCAGGTTCAAACACCATTAGGGTGGCGCAGTAAGTCTTTTAGGCTTAAGAATAGCATGATTGTGTAAGCCTTGTTTCCTTAGGTGAGCACAGCAGAAACAACGATCATCAGAAAAAGTTACCAGGGAATTGTCAAATCTGTAGGACAGATGGCAAGGCTCAAAAATTATCTAGCCATCAACAGGAGGAATTAAGTAGCAAAGGAACTGAAAGAAAATATGTTAAAAATATTAAATCCAAATGATATTAGTGTATGGATAAATCAG